ACAGCCTTGCTCAGTAAGCTGACCCACAGATACTAAATTAGGAACCAAATTGGGAACATGAAGGGTATTAGGTAAAGATAAATTCTCATTAGTCATCATGCCCGATCCCTGTACCTTCAATTTCCCACCATTTGCAACACTCAAAGACATGTCATCAACAGGAACGAGATTCGTTAAACTAGCAGATTGGGATGTCATATGGTTGAAACAAGCTGAATCAAGTAACCACGGAGAATTATTACCTGAACCGTGGAGGGTTGCAAAAGCGGTACTGATGGCAGTGGGTAAAGATTTCTGGAGAGCAGCATTCACTAGTTGCTCGACAGTGGCAGCAGTGATTGCCCCGCCACCTGTACCGCCGCCATTGTCCACGAGCACGGCTGAGTGAGCTGACCGATCAGCTGGCTGTCGCCACTGTTGCTCCAGGCGAGGGCCATTGCCGAGCGAGGAGCGCTCAAGGAATGAAGAGGCTCCGCCTCCCCCAGCACCAGGCGCACTCCCAGAAGCATTGCGCGCCTCATTCCGTTGCCGAGTGCGGCATTCCGAAATTATGTGGCCAGATCGCTTACAGTATATGCAATTATTCCATTGTTTACAAAGCTTCTTTGGATGGCCTTTCTCATGAAAAAAATGGCACTCAATCTCAGATGACATACCACGGTTTTGGAATTGCGGATGATGGACCACAAAAACTGCCGATTCTTGAGAAGCAGCCGCAAAAACAGATTCACTTTCATGAGGGCGCACATCAAGTTGCGCCTGCGTTCGGAGGCGGGTTTCTTCTCGGACGAGAAGAGGAATGATACCATCAAATTTGAGGTCCTCCTTATTCAGCAAGGTGGACCGAACAGCTTCAAATTCAGGCCTAAGCAGGTTGGGGACGAAGCGCGGCCTGCACGATGTCTTGTTCAGTCCAGAGTTCTTGCGCGAGGTTGAAGTATTCAGTGATGGAGCGATCTCCTTGCTCCAGTCGAGCCAAGGAGAGTTGAATTTCAAATTGGCGGGCTGGATTGACAGTAGAATAGGTGGCGGTCAGATGGCACCACATCTGATGAGCACTAGGGAACAGGCGGAGACTTAAACAGGTTGAGGAATCAACCGATCCCAAGAGGAAGTGTCGGACACGTGCATCGCATTGCTTCCAGTCAGAGAGGTCTTTTGCCGGAGCTGTGGCGGCCGGAGATGGAGCTGTTCCATCGAGAATACCCAGTAAACCTTTGCCTTCAATGAACACCTTGAATTGAAATTCCCAGAGTGCGAAATTGGTGGATGTCACCGAGGGGCGATCAGATTCCATTGCTTGAAGCTCTGATACCATGATAATCAATCAGAAATAACGAAATTGAAAGAACACGAACACCAAGATTTACGTGGTATCCCTGGAGAATCCAGGACTAATCCACGAAAGAGGTAAAACTCTTCAGCTGCTAGTGAGATTATACGTGTATGTTGTGTGTCCCCAACCTACAGCTCCTATCAACATATATACAACCCTACCGAGGGCAACTCCCCAAACCCTAAGAGTCTACACGTCCCCTTGCATGGGCTTCATGGGGTTGGCGTACAAATGGACAAGTCCAACAGCATAATAAGTCCAACTACAAAGCAATACATGGGCTACGTAATTAAAAGACAATTAAATGGGTTTAACTCTGCTAACACATTGGACATCTCCCGTAGTTTACTTTCATACATGCTGAGGAAATTCTCGACTCTGAGATCAATCTGGCCGGGACCCTGCAGATAGGAATTGGGAGGAACACGGAATCCCCATCGCGTTCTCACACACAATGCAGTTAATTTACTCGAAATGAGAGAAGATGGAATGAAGTTTTGAGAAATAAGGGATTGTTCATTCTTTTCAACATGCCCGTAAGATTTTTTGTACGGGAGGAACAAAATGGAATTGCAGAGACTGAAACACTAATAAACAATAGATCGCACGATAGAGATAACAACAAAGATGAGTTGGGGAAAATGAAACCCTAAAGTCTTGGGTGTTTCTCATTCATATTTGGGTTTAAATAGGCAAAAACTTTGCACTACAAGACAACATGTGCAAGCTAGCATTTGGAGACTACAAAGATAAAACATAACTCAAACTAAAGTCTAAACAAACATTGACATTAAACTAAACTTGATGATGATGATTTACTCTAAACCTTGTCGATCCACTTTGACATTCATGGTCGCCGGTTTGAGTTTTGACGATAACTTGAAATATCTCCTGATAGATGTTGAGAGGAGAACAATGGTTGGCATATGGGGTTCAGACCCTTGAAAAAGGTATCTTCAATTTGATTACTTATCGTTTCTGCTTCATCTTGTTCAATGTTCCCTGGGATAAACCACAAAAACAAATTATATATTGAATAAACAAAGCATCATATAATTAACAGGTGTGGTGCTCTGGCTAAAATCTCCATTATTCCTAGTCCTCCTAGCAAGATCAAAATCGTCGACTGAAATACATTAATTTAGAATGCTTTACAAAATGGAGAATGGAAGAGAAAGGCAAATCCATAATTTTAGCGAGTTCTCTCTCTCTGCCATAGGATAAGGACAAAGACTGAACAGTTCAAAGCTTTAAATCTTGGCTAACATTGTTCAATCGAAAGAAGACATCTAAAGCCATGACAGTATTTTTTAATATATATAATAGATGTAGACGAGATAAAAGCACCTGCAACATAGCACTCCCAAAAGGCTCTTGACAGCAGCATTGGTACAAACCTAGAAACATCATCAGCCTGAAGTTGAGAAAGAACCTCAAGTTCTTCCATCCACGGCCATGCTTTATCATAAAGTATTAAAGAGCAATAATTCATAGCCTGCTCATAAGGTTGCTGAAACATACCTGAATCGTGGAGCTAGTGATTTTCTCGATAACATATCTAGTTCCAAACCATGGCTCCACAGTCTGAGCTTCTGCTTCAAAGTTCTTTGAGATCCAAAAGATACTGCAATATTACTCTCGTTAGAATGCATTACAGTTACATCTATTTTAATCCGTACTTGGACGAGGAAACCACCATTGTCGTACTGGATTACAAACAAATATTAGATGTTTTTCAACCCCCACTACCACTAGGCCGAAACCTTATCCTTATTGTTGAAAACGAAAAAAGATACTAATTAAAGCGAGAAAGTACAATGGAAACCTTCCTTCAACTTATGTTCAAGACCTGAGTTACTAGCTAGGAGAAGGCAACAGCAATCCCCATACAACTTGAATTGCTACATTTGCCTATGCATGCTAGATTAGCCAAAGATATCTATGCTACTATATATGTGGCTGGTGATATTGTTTATATCGTCGGAGTTTAACCCAACATCCCACTACAGTAGTGCACAACTAAAGAAACAGTGAGATAGAACCAGCAACATGATGGTAGAGAAAAAAGGGCGACTATGATTATTTTATGAGTTAGTGATCAGAAAAGTTGCTACTCATGAAGGAAATTAAATTTTGCATCTCCACTTTTGAGTCATGTTCTATACTTCAGCTGTACAAGACTTACAGTCTTCTGTCAAGAATCCACATGCCCTGATGCCCATGACCTCATAAGTCCTAAATACCAATAAAAAAGAATGAGAAAATGTGTGTCGACCAAGGCACTAGAATGATACAAATAATAAACCGAGCTGAAGCAATCAACAAGCCAGAGATTATTTCTCGTTTAAGTACAATAAATAAGCCATAGCTAACATTTTGAAGGAACCAATACAAATATCTCATTTCAACATCCAGTAACCACCAAACATAAAATATTCCATCGCTTTCTGCTAAAACTAAAGTAAAATTTTCAAGTAAACAGGCAGCTACTTCTTTTTACTTATGAATGAGTGAATACGATTTTTAGTTGACCAAAAGGAAAATTTACATGAGCCTCAGGAAAGGAAGGGAACACAGAGCCCATCCCTGAGAGAGGAAAACTAGAAGATACGTAGTCAGCTATTTCTACTTTAAGTTACAGATCAAGTAAACACAACAAAATATGTTCTTTTTAAGAGCCCGGCCGTGAAAAGAAAAGTAAAAAAACTGACGTACAAAATTAGCAGTCAAAAGACATTCTAATTGTTGGTTTAACTTACTTGCATATAATAAGCAATCCCCACGACATAATGAATAGGATCATTATTTTTGTCCCGATAATGGAATCCTGTCTGAGAAACTGCTGCAAGCTGCAAGACCAAGATTTAAAAGAATTAGAATACATGAAAACAAATGCAACTTCGAAATACAGAAATAGGCATCAGATCTCTCTCCATTGAACTCAAGCAAAAGTGCAACACTGGAACAGTAGTAACGCTTATCCCTGCTGCCACTCATCAGTCATCCCTACCCATGACCGCTGTTGAAAATATGTATGCCAGCTTTTTGTATCCTTAACATACTTATTATACCTGAGCAATACTGCCATATCATCCCCAATGATCACCATAAACACCCGATTAAGCTCACATAAATTAATTAAATTAAGCAAGCGGCAGCCTCACAGATCGAAGCAAGAGTGGCACCCTGAGCTTCAATCACATTAACAAACTGGCGATCAAAACAACTAAGTTAACTGGAATTAAGCCCATCAGCCAGCACAATCACCCACCCAACAATGAGGAAGATCATCCATTTACTTCATATTCTAACCAAGGTTGAAAGCCAAATGATAATTAATTTAATCCACCGAGACAACTGCTTAACTATGAAAACAAAATTTAGGGCTCCATATATATTGCAACTAGTTCTTCGTCAAGAAGTATCTGGCCACTCAAACTATAGTATATATCACCTATCCTTTCGGAGATTGGTAGAGGAAGGTGATAGTAATTGTCTCCCAGAAATAATTATCGACTCTACCTTGCACCAACAAGGACTATTTAATACGTCAAGGCAGGGTATCTTAGTGTCATGAATAACCATGGCCTTTCCCACGAGAGAAGGGGAAAACACTCCGGATTAAGCAACAATGGACAGCTTTCTATACTGGAAACCACAAACCTCATCGAATATCCATTTGCATACACCAGACTGCTGCAAGATCGAGCATAGTGTATTTGAATAGCAACCCAACAACATCCTGCATGTGCTCTGCAGTTGAATGGAGAAAACATTTTGAAGAATTCACATTAAAGAAAACATCTGAGAGAACAAACATGATATAGCTATTATCATCCATTAAAAGAGTTCTGAATAGAAACACCATAAATTAAAACGGAAGAAGAGAATGACAAAACTAACCATGACCGAGGTCAATTCCCACTTCAAAGACGGAAAAGTCGCTTGTACAATCTCCTTCACTTGCATATAAACTTGTGGCCCATCCTGGTTTTACAGTTAGCCACATAATATTTGAGAAAGCTTTCCACAAGAGACATGGGACAAAATTAACAGCTAGAACAAAGGACAAACAAAATGATGCAGAATGGTCCAAATTATGGACCTCAAATTTCCTTAACTCAAAATATGGAAGTCAGTAAAAGCTAAGCTACATATTTAATTTAAACTTCGAATACTTGTACATATCTTACATCCAAACATCACCAAATCATACGTGCAGACAGTACAAGTTTCCTTGAGTTCATTGAAATCTTAATTCTGGTCTCATGATGACATTAATCTAACCTTTGTTTGACTCGGTAATAATCTACAATTCTATCTCATATAAGGGGTCGTTTGCTTGTTGGATTTGAAAAATGAAGGTTTTGTGCAACAAAAACCTTGGGATTCATGAGGGATTTATTGTATTATGGATTTGAAAAGTCTAGTGTTTGCATGATAGAATTGATAATGGATTTATGATGGATTTGTCACATAAGCAACTAACAACCATCATGGATTTACAAATCCCAAACAAATATGTGGGATTTACAAGTCCGTGGGGTCCACGGATTTGGTCCCAAATTAAAGACCAAATCCGTGGACCCCACGGATTTGATACCCATCAACAAACAATGGACTTGTGTTAAATCCATCAAACTTGGGATTTAGGTACCAAATCCATGACCCAAATCCAACAAGCAAACGACCCCTAAGTTAGCTAGCAATTGGACAACTGTAGGAACTAGATATATTGTTTAGTAATTTATACAAAACTCAATTTATGGTTCGTTGACTCAAAAAAATGAAAAGGTACACTGAAGACATTAATGACACCAAAATTGTGGCTTAGAACGAAGCTTAAATAAAACTAAAAAAGTAATTCGGCTCGGCGTCCTAAATAAAACTACAACTAAAGTACAGTCAGAGACCATCGATGCAATTCAACCAGCCTGCCGATTACCAAAGATCCTTGAATGAATGTCTTGGTCGCAGAGCAGCTCCTTTATAGAAACGTACATAAGAAATAAAGCAATGATACACAATCCAAATCATCCCCGGCCCGTCGCTCCCCAACCAACCAGACACTAGGCCCCAGCAGACTGAACCTTCAACCCCAGAGGGAAAAAGTCAAACAGAGAAGGATAATTAAGACCCATGTAAATTCAGAGGAAGCAGCATCGACAACAAAAAAGAGACCCAATGACTGGGCGTAGAGCTGAATTGATTTGATTTCCATACAAAAAACTTAAATCTTTCTGAACCACATTATAATCTGACTCTGACTGGCTTCCCAAAACTCTACCGAGGGAGGAAATAAATGACATGCATGAACCGACCAAAGAGCCGGCAAAGGAACAAGGAAAGAAATAAAAACAATGAATAATATTATAACAATTAGCCTTCAAGATGCACAGATAATGGCTAGGAGGGGCTTAGTCAAGTGACTAAGGACCCACTTAGTCATGGGATCCGCTCTCCTAGGTTATACAAACGTAGATAGATATATAGCAAAGCCATATATGCGTTGCATGGCATTTATTAATATTTTTCTCCCTCTGAATTTTTTGGAAGAATGTGCATGCATGCATGCAATAAATTTAATTTATTAAAGCCCAAGCTCACGTGAAGACCATACCTATCATGCATTCACGACAAATGAAAAAATAATGCAAGTGGACCAATGTTCTTTTCCCTTTCTAAAATCTTTGGATCGAGGTTTCTTGAATCCAAAAGAGTTTCCGGTTTCAAGTTTACTCATCTTGCAGTAGGGCTGTTGTGTATTTTGGACCTTCTTGTGGTGATGGCGAGCCTATTACTAGTGTCTTACTTACGAGGTGTGGCAGGCCATGTGAGTCTGGTTGGCTTTTGCCTGCTTGTTTTTTCTTTTGCAGAATTAGAGATAGCATATACGGTGGAGGCCTTTACGGGCTTTTTGTACTGCGTTGCTGTCACATCGATTTAGAAGGATTTACTTCTCTGCTTCAATTTTCAGTATGGTTAGTTCACGATTTTGATTTTTTTAAGGGAAGAAATCATGATATTCCCCATGTAGTTAAGGTATCAAAGGGCTGCCCGTGCCCCATATCGTGGCCGAAAATGCCCTCTCTTCGTTGGTTCAAAGTTTGTTGACCAGAGCGCATTTTTTTTTAATTTGGCCAGTTTCGGTCATGTACGTACATATTCATATCTGTCTTTTTCCGTTCCGGAATATCTTTGACAAAATAAAATGTTGATTCTTGAAACACAAACCCAAAAACCTATGGTGGCGAATGTTGAATGACCATACATTGGTTACATTTCAAAATTCATAAGACATTAACCAGATAGATAGCTATGGATTGTCAAATTCACCTATATGAGTTTGTTCCAACCTTCATTGCATCCTATCTAATGTATGGTCATTCAAACTGATTGATAAGTTTTACCCCTTTCTAGTATCATTTTTCAGTTTCTTATTTATGTTGCCACAAGTTGAAACAAATACTATAAATATGAGCACTTCTACTATGCTATATAGCATTGGTGCTTTAATGTACAACTTGAAGTTGTACTATAACATTAAATGTATAAGTTTAGATTGTACCATAAAGGAATTTGTACCATTATGTTATGGTACAACTGTACAACTTGAAGTTGTATCATCACATAAATGTACAAGTTTAAGTTGTACCATAAAAGAATTTATACCAAAAGTATAGGTATAATCTAAAATTGTACCATAACGTTAAAGGTACAATTTCAAATTATACCATAAAGGCAAAACCCTATATATAGCACCAATACTATATAGCATTGTAAAATTTCTCCTATAAATATATTCAGTTATGTTTTCATTGTGGGACAACAGGAGTCAACAACTAAACAAAAATATTTTAAACAAGTGAAACCAATTTAAGTAGTTTACTTGTTGTTTCAAAAAACTTTTGTTATAGGATTATACTAGCTGTTGGAATAATTTCATTCAAGCGATTTTATGAACAAATCTCATTAGACCGACTTTCTGCATATTTTTTCCTTTTCATTTTCTCATAATTAACTCATTCATGTAACTTATCATCAATATTTTTTGTTGTATTTTTCTCTTTTAATTTTTTCATAAATCGTCATGCCACATTATTTCTCTCATTATTTTTCTACTTTTTCCTTAACATCAACATTTATACTAAATGAGGTCTGAAGAAATTTTCATTTTCTATTTTCGTGGTTTCATATTTTCATGGTTGTATCTTTGTTATCACAACTCTACTATAACAACAACAATAAAATTAGGGGCTTAGTTACAGGTAAAGTTATGATCTTGGTTTGGGTCATACTTGGATCTAAATTAGACCTATTACATTGGCTACCCAAAGAAAATCAACACCCAACCTTTTGTTTTTGGAGTGAACACCCAACTGTAATGTAATTTTGTATTTTTTTCTTTTTTCTAAAACAAACATAATGTGGAAAGACTAACATTGAAAGTGTGAATTGGTTAAAGGCAAATAGTTAGATGGTCGATATTGATTTTTCGTATGTATAATTATATACATCCAAATTGGTTGACCCAAATTGGATTTAATTCAAACCCAAATTATTAATAGTAAGTCGCATTTCGTCCATCCAAATACACATAGGTCATAACAATTGGTTTCAATTACCCAATCTACCCATTATCATCCTAAACCAAACTAACCATGATATATTTTTGGAACCGAACTGAAAAAATATATAAATTCTGACACCACTCCAGATGTTTAGTAGGTTTTTAGAGGGTCGTCTCAAACTGATTGATTTCCAGTTAATCCCGAAATACCAAATAGCGGAGTGTAAAGTGGCCCGATGAGCCCGCTTACTTGATTCATGACTAGCGGTGTATGTGGCCCAACCAAAAAGTTTCAGGTGAAATGATGGTAAATTCAAACTCATCCATCAATTTCAAAATTCTGTAAGTTTTTTTAGTTACAATTTAGGTCGGATTGGATGCTAAAATAGTGATTGTATAATGAACTGGATGTTTTTAATTTGAATTAAAAACGGTTATATGTTTGTTGACTTTATGATTTAGTAGCTCTATTTGATGTTATATCCGTAAATATACATGTTCAATTAGCTTTACTTCTTGGTACAAAAATTATTCGATACACTAGACATGTATTATCTATAGACTGTGGGTCATGGTCCAAGAAACCGTACCGGAGACCGTACCGGGAAGCTTAACGGTAAGGTATTTTATGGTAAAATCGTGGTTTACTCGTAGTTCAACCGTTATACCGGTAAATACTGCATATCGGTTTAGCCTCCAATACTGATATTTCGTGGTTGAACCGCCGGTACGGTACGGTTTAATGGACACTGCTGTGGGTATCCAAAAGTCATGGGTCTGGAGATTTTTTTAGAAAGAATTTAGCCAAACTCAGCCTAGGGATTCAAGAGTTACCCAAAAGGAGATGGAACAATATCCAGCACATAAAAACACATGGTTAAAGTTGATAACTAAAGGAGGGCAATACGACTAGGAATGGCAATGGGGCGGGTCCGGGGCGGGTTTCTTGGTACCCAGACCCGCCCCATGGCAGGTCGGGTAATTTATCACGAATTGGAGCAAGTCGACCTAATGGATAAGCAATTTATATGAAAAATATTAGAAATGTTCGTTATTTTTATTATAAGACCATGGAAACAAACAATATTATGACAAATATAATTAAATTATTGGGAAATTGAGGTTTTCACTAATTTACAACTTTCTTATGGATAAAATTTTATGTAATAAAAGGAAAATCATAAGTAATTTGACTAAAATTACATGTAATTTAGACAAGAACGGGTCGAGAATGGGGCGGGTCAGAGCAAGTCGGATCGATGAGAGTACCCATGCCAGCCCCAAAACAGGTAAAACGGGTCAGGTCGAAATTGTCATCCCTAAGTACGACAAGTTCACCGTTTCCATCCAATTCATAACAACATTAACTAGCAGTTTGGAAACCCGAACTCGTAGCTAGACGACCTTTCCAATACAACAGTAGCTAGCCTAGCAGGACCACAGGCTTCAAACTCATTAAAAGAGGACTCCTTAACTTAACTGCCAACTCCAGCTTCACTTACAGCAGCCACAGGGACTGTCACAGGGCCAACCTGCGAACAGAAGGGGGTGGTATATATATATACAAGAAGGCACACAAAGAAACCAAAAGCAAAGCAAAAGAAACCTTCACAAGAGCACAAGCCAGAGGAAATTCAACAAGCAATTGAACATGTACCAAATACCCGCCCAGTTGCAAGCCAAGTTGTTAGCCAAGGCACAAAAAGTAAAGCTACTATGCAGCTACAATATAGATGGCTAGTGATCTAGAAGAAGCTAGAAGAAGAATAAGAAATTATATTACCATTACACATGATCATCCTCCACCGGTTTGGACTTTCTTGAATCGCTTCCTTCTGGCCCTTCACACGAAACAGCTCCATCACACACACACCAGTAAAGTTCCGATAGACTTGAGCTTCATATTCTTTCTCAGCATCTTTAGGATCAGCACTGTTCTTGGCCATGAATGTGATAAAGTAAATACCACCCTGGACAGGTCGCCAATTGGCCGTCACAATATCACCAGCGACCAGCTTCCACCGCTAGACAAGACAAACACAGATGCAATAGGGTCGCCCCCAAGTCAATTGGTTGGGAAAAAGCAGAGCAACACAAAAAAAAACACAGACAGATGGAGCAAAAGAGATTTCGAACCCCGTCCGATGATTTGTTCGTTTCCTTGACAACGTGATCCACACACTCACGGAGAATCTTGCGGCACAGAGCTTTCCCCAGGTTGACATGCAAAACCCCTTATTCAAGGACATCCACCGGAGGCGATTGGACATAGTCAAATCCCTAAGTTACATAATTCAGAATGATTCAGCAGCAACCAACAAAAAGCTACTACGCTAAAGGAAGGAACAACAATCTGGATGAGGGGGGGAAGGAGGAGAAGCCAAAAGTTGAGGCTACATATGCATACCTCGCTAGCAAAAACCTGCTCATACTAGAGCGCCATCTTCTTCCTGTCTTCTTCGCTTTTAGGATACCAGGTTAAGGGCTTCCCCATAGTCTGAGTCCACTCTTCCTCTTCATCCTCCTCGCCGCCACTGCCCATGACGTCGCCGCCATCATCTTTATCGATCTTCTGCCTCTTCGGATTCGAGTCAAGCTCAGTTTTGCTCGAGGAGGAGCCAGATCCGGGAGCCGATTCGACGACGACGCTCGATGATACGTCCGTAGGCAGCAGCGGGGTTTGTGAGTGGGGATCGTAGCCGAGGCTCGGGATCGCGGCATCGGGATTCATGGTCGCCGGAAAAAAGGATTGGCAGGAGGAAACCCTAGGGAGGGAGGAACGCACGATGAAATTGGGGATCTCTGTATTCTATTCTTCGTTGTTGGATTTGGGGATTTTTCCAGCGACCTCCTTTCTTTTTGTGTCACAACTCACACGTGTTACTAGGCACGTGAATGGATCTCTTTTATCTCTTTTTTTTTTCTTTCTAAATCCTTCACGCAATGTTTCCAAAATCTAAACAGAAGATAATTATTTATTATTAATGCGCCATTTACCTCTTTATTACTAACTTTGATAAAGAATGAATAGATAGAGAATGAAGCATAAAGAATGAATAGATAGAGAATGACGCATAAAGAATGAATAGATAGATCCAACATTTAGACAAGTACTATCCTTATTTAAGAATATAAAACTGTATCATTAATCTCATTTTCATAATCATAATTAAGCCTCCATTAAAATGATATTGGTTAATCGATTGTCAACAAATATAGAGTATAAAGCTCACTGGAATTTCCACACGATCAATATATAGTTTGAAACTGAAATGAAACCTCACAATCCTACATAAATGGTTCAATGCTCTCCTCTAGGAACAACATGCCACTAATAAAAACGAAATGGATTTATAAAAAACGAAAATGAAGAGTTGATGATTCAAGTAAATCATATGCTAACAACTCAGCTAAAAAGAGACAATCAAAACTTGAGAGCAAACGAGAAAATTAGGTTTACATCAAATATACTAATAGACTCAATCAAAGTAATGAGCAACAAAATTAGACACTCCTTATCTACATATTCCAGTAGCTTGAATAGAGAATCGACCTTAAGTTTAGTAAATCAATCAATGAATCCTCATTTTCACATAAAAATAGGTTGTGGTAGCTGCAACAACCATAACACCTAAAGATACAATTGTCGCCGCTCTCTGTTGTACAACCAACTTTTTATCCCCTCCATCTTCAATTCCAAGACGTATATGTTTCATAGCAAAAGTCACTTTCTAATCCTCCTTCTGCAACTTCTTTTATGCTACTTTGATGGACCTTCTTTTGTCAACTTGCTTTCCAACTCCTCAATCCTCTTTCTTGTATCTGGCCAACACATCTTCCTAGGGGAAGTTTTAATAAGCTCGTAAAACCAACACTCATCTTCAATTCCATCAATATGTTGATCGCATCCTTCTCTGCATTCACCTGATCCAGTTGACTTCCACGCCCTTCAATACCTCTCCATTTTCATTAATATCCTCATCATCCACCACTTCTCTCTCTTCAACTGCTTTGGTTTTGCTTTCGTGTCTTTCAATACCCTCATTGGTTCGATCACTACCTGACCAACTCCCTCTTCATTGCCTTCACTTGCTGCAACCTCCTGGCATGATTTTTAATACACCTTCCTCAAAATCACAATCAACTAACCAATATCAATCTATGATCTTGGATTAGTTTTAAACTATTTATGAACATCTCAATACCACTGAGTCTAACTCAAAATATTCTTTCAGTTAATCATAAAGTTGAGTTTATCAAAATATAATCCACTCCTTCACTTAGCTGAAATTCCCATCCCCCAAGCTCATTTTTGGTTCATTTGATCCCAAAGAAACATGATATTATACCTCTAACTAAAATAAATTAAAGAATTTTATGAGAAGAAATTGAACCATGAACTTTACCTGCTACCAAATCCAAACACAATTTCTTCCTCCCGGCATTTCCCTTCCCAAACCCAATATCAACTTCTACTCCAAGTTCAACACTCCAACTCTCAGAGTGTTGCATGGAAGCTTAATTTTAGTAATCATTATGCTTGCAATTAGATTAATGGACACCAATAAGTGCCAAAATGCCACCAGACGATGAGTTGTCTTCACTTTGAGTTTTGTCATAAAACTGATGGCCCAATATGTTTAATAGTTTGGAGGCCATACAATGAGCAATACCAAATCAGTTGCAGCGAAGTTATTGGTCACAACTATGACAATGTGAAACATGTGTTAACAAACGCGAATATGGGTTACTTTTATGGATTGACATTATAACGATGGAATTGAACAATGGGATCGTCCTTAGTTAAGCGACATGTAATTTGGTTCATTTGATCTGGAGGACACCACATTTGACTCATAGCAACTATAGAAAGTTAACCATCACAAATAATATTAGCTTCACATTGGTTTGGAGGACACCATATTTGACTCAGAGGAACTCATAACAACTATATAAGACACAGACATAGTCTTGAAAACCAGTCATCAATCTCAAACCTAAAACTAACATAGTTGAATAAATGCAAGTTAAAGTGTAAACGTGAGGTTGAACATATGAGCTAATGAGTTGTAGCGATAATGAAAAAGAAAGCATCTGAAATGAGAATGACTGCTAATTTCATTTCTTAATTTGAGAAAATGAAAACGAAAGTTGAAGCGAAGCATGTGAAAAGAAGATTTACAATTCTCTAACAACCAATTAACAGCCCTATGCTCAACTGAATACTCACCGCAACTCACTTCTCTCAAAAACACCATCATAATTTCATGATTAAATAAAATCAAAATTATTCATAAGTTCATGATTGATACCACCATCATTTAATTTCATGTCACTATAAAATGAAGCTGGTAACAACTAATAAAAGCTAGGAACATAAACTTCATAATTCTTATTGCAATTGATCTTGGTGAGTCCCATCCGGGAACTAGATTATGAAGGTAATGGATCGCATTGTTTTGGTTGTATGGTATTTTGAATCAAAATGCAGTATAATTTTAATAGTAACATTTCATTTGGTGTTTCCGCTTTGAATGTGGTAATTGACTCTAAGTGTTTTGTTTGTATATAGAACATTCACATGTTGTGATATTTCACCACTTAATGAAAGTAAGAGTGAGTTAATTGAAATGTCTTATGGAGAGAAGGTATTTCAATTAACTCAATATGCATCATTTCAATTGCCACGAGCCCCGAAATAATACACTCTACTTTTTGTTTGCCAAACGACCGAAATAACGTGATTCATCTAAATGTTGCATCCAAACGAATCTGTTTTAACTCCCATTGTTTGTACTGTTGCCATTTTGGGACTTCATTGTTATATTATTAAGCTATTATTATTAGTTACGTCGACTAGTATTGGAAGGGATTTGGTTTAATTGCCTGTATAGTTATGGTAATAGAAATGTTCAGGGGATTGGGGATTCCAGTGGACTTTATTATTATGCATTATTTCACTTGATCTAATTATAGTAATATAAATGTTTTAAGAGACGGGGAATTTTAGTTTCGATAATCGAGTGTAATCGTCTTGTTTGTATAAGAAGGAGTGAGTTAATTGATATGTCTAGGGAACGGGGAATTTCCCAAATCTCCTCCTGCCTCCTCCCCCCCACAAATTCGACCCCTAATCCCCAAATGGCCAAAATCCATCCACTGAATCCTCATACCAAAATCGAACAGGTCGTCACCCGTCATTATCGAATTCTCATTCTTGTCTCGGAACAAAAAATACAAACACATAGTTAAAAGTTGATAACTAAAGGAGGGCAGTACGACAAGTTCACCTTTTCAATCCAATTCATAACAACATTGACTAGCAGTTTGGAGATACCAACTCATAGCTGGACGACCTTTCCAAATGCAACAGTAGCTAGCCTAGCAGGACCACGGGCTTCAAACTCACAATCGCCTTAAAAGTGGACTCCATAACTTAACTGCCAACTCCACCTTTACAAGAGCACAAGCCAGAGGAAATTTCAATAAACAATAGAGCATGCAGCTAAGAAGAAAAGAAAAAAAAATATATATATATATCTATAAGATATATGAAGCCAAAACAAGGGTTGAGTTTGCAGGGATTCAAATTTCCTGCCCGCAGAGGGTTTGTCGGAAGGGCAATATAGGCTATTCACAGTTAAATAAAGCTGTGCGTTTCACCTCCTACACTTTCTGCTGGTGGACCGGGCCAGTTTATAATATAGTCGGACCGGCCTCTAGCCCCCTGAAGTAGCCGGCCCAAATGCTTTCCCCCTGAAGTAGCCGGCCCAAAGACCTGCTGGTGAAATGCTTCCCTCGAAATCTCTCGGAACCCATATTCAGCTGCCGTGTTTGCTTCTTTCTCCGTCTCGATTTCGGTCTCAAGCCCTGCACTTCAATACCACATATGCAATTGTGAGGGACGCGTGGGCGGAGGGAGTTGCTACTCCTCCAATTGAATTCCCCAACTATTCCCCAGCTGTAAGTGTGAAGGTCGTGTGTCAAGAGGGGAGGGATTGGAGATGCATGGGAGGAGACAGCTTCTACAGCCTTTCGTGGTGTACTAATCAATCCTTTATTTTTGATCAATTAGAGCTTGCTGGTTCATGCTTAACTGTGATTGCAATCAAGATAATGTCA